AATACATGGCCCCGGTCATCCTCTCCTTAATACAGTGCAGTCGCCCTGTCCCGTGTGCAGAAAAACACCCCCAAAGCATGATGCTACCACCCCCATGCTTCACAGTAGGGATGTTCTTGGGATGGTACTCATCATTCTTCTTCCTCCAAACACGGTTAGTGGAATTATGACCAAAAAGTTCTATTTTGGTCTCATCTGACCACATGACTTTCTCCCATGACTCCTCTGGATCATCCAAATGGTCATTGGCAAACTGAAGACGGGCCTTGACATGTGCTGGTTTAAGCAGGGGAACCTTCCGTGCCATGCGTGATTTCAAACCATGACGTCTTAGTGTATTACCAACAGTAACCTTGGAAACGGTGGTCCCAGCTCTTTTCAGGTCATTGACCAGCTCCTCCCGTGTAGTTCTGGGCTGATTTCTCACCTTTCTTAGGATCATTGAGACCCCACGAGGTGAGATCTTGCATGGAGCCCCAGTACGAGGGAGATTGACAGTCATGTTTAGCTTCTTCCATTTTCTAATGATTGCTCCAACAGTGGACCTTTTTTCACCAAGCTGCTTGGCAATTTCCCCGTAGCCCTTTCCAGCCTTGTGGAGGTGTACAATTTTGTCTCTAGTGTCTTTGGACAGCTCTTTGGTCTTGGCCATGTTAGTAGTTGGATTCTTACTGATTGTATGGGGTGGACAGGTGTCTTTATGCAGCTAACGACCTCAAACAGGTGCATCTAATTTAGGATAATAAATGGAGTGGAGGTGGACATTTTGAAGGCAGACTAACAGGTCTTTGAGAGTCAGAATTCTAGCTGATAGACAGGTGTTCAAATACTTATTTGCAGCTGTATCATACAAATAAATAGTTAAAAAATCATACATTGTGATTTCTGGATTTTTTTTTTAGATTATGTCTCTCACAGTGGACATGCACCTACGATGACAATTTCAGACCCCTCCATGATTTCTAAGTGGGAGAACTTGCAAAATAGCAGGGTGTTCAAATACTTATTTTCCTCACTGTATATAACAGAACAAAAAGAGTAGTAAGTGGATGAAACAGAGGTAAAGTGACTATGAGAGAATCCATGTGTGCGCATTTATACTCAAGAGACAATGATCCCGAGTCTGTCTGGGAGCAGGAAGCTGTCTGCAGCAGTGCTCACTAGTCTGAGCTCTATCCTCCAACAGCCTCCAGGCCGAGTTATCAAGGCTTAACACGGGAGGAGAGGAAGTGGCTAAAAGCTCAGATTTATACTGTCGCCTCCCTGAATCCTCCATCTCTCCTCCTCTCTGCCTTGTCTGAGAAGCACTGCGGTGCTGAGCATGTACTTTATGACCATTAACGTCACCTCCAGTGGCCTTTACAAGGGAAAAAAAAAGAGAAGCGAAAAAGGTGATCCAAAAGGTTATGATTTCTTGAACTGCACTTTTGGAATGGCACATAATTATGTGAGACCCTATGCCTCTTCCTCCACTTTTCTCACACAGAATCAAACTGTCTTGAGTTCTTTAGTCAATGCTGCCACATTTAATGACTTCTTTGGCTTATTTATGTGATTTAGTAGTGATGATGTGACCTACTCCGTTTGAGACTGTGTGATGTCTTTCTGTTGAGTGTTGTGCCATGTTGGGGCTCTTAATAGCCTGCACTGGGGGGGGTGGCCCACTGATTCCATGCCTCCTATCAAATGCTGGCAGAGGTGGGCACAAAACATGCTCCCATTCCTCCCCATTGCCTCGGGAGACACCACGACAACTAGGCGGAAAAAAATGGGTCCTCCTCGCCATTCCACTCATGCCCTGGCATCCATTGTAAAACATCTGAAGACTTCTACTTGTGTTCTTTAGCGCTGAGATAACTGAGAGCGCTTTTATGTGTAACCTCTCTTCTTTCATCTCCTCTGTTTTTCTCCGCTCTTTTCCCCTTGTTGCCCCTCACTAAGGCACCCTCTTCATGGCTATGGTAGCAAGTGTGAGGCTTTGATAAAACCACGGTTGCTGTGCTTCAAAGGTCTTGCTCCAAGTTACAATTTCCCCTGTGTTACCAGTCTGAATCTGGCTCCGTCAGATTTTCATTCCAGTCTGCAGAATCACAGAAACATCAAGTAACAATTAACAACTTTCTTGAAACACTGCTTGAGAATTCCGGCATTCGTTCAGCACATGGCATGGCAACTCTCCTGCGCTCACCGTACAAAAGGGTGATTGTTTGGGACTTGAATTAAGTGAAAAACTCTGTGGGCGTTTGTGGAAAAAAGCGAGATGACTTTCTCTCTATGGAATCCTGACATCACACAGACAGCATGTTATCCTCACGACTGGTTTCAGTAGCTTAAGCAGCCAGTAAACAAAGCCATCAGGCTGGGTGGCATTTTGAAGCTGGCCCTGTTCAAATAGAAAGTACACTGGCTGAAAGCTGGGCAAAAATATATTTTAGGAGGAACTTATTATAAATACTGTTCTTTGACGTTATACTAGCTTACATCGTCCAAACTGTAAAAAAAAAAAAAAATTGAGATTTATCTGGTTTAAATTCCTTTGAGCAAATTAGCATTTGCTTTATCACTGAGTCAAACTCATTACTTTGATACCAGCATCTCTTTATAAATGGTTTGTCCTTGATTAAGCCTATTGCACCAATCTCTGGGTATTCTCAGTATACAACTTTTTTTTTTTAAAGCTGGTGTCAGTGTGGCGACATTGTCGTGCTGGCACACAGATACAGAGTGATGTGTTTTATGCCAACCAGCAATGATTGGTTTACCAGGGGCAACCTAGAGCCATGTAGAGAGCTCAACGATCCACCATTGCTCTAAAAAAAAAAAAAAAAAAAGTTTCTAATGCTCCATGTAAAAAAGGAACTCGGCGTTCAGAGGAAGGATTACAGTCAAAAAAAATAGCTATCAATGAGGAGGACAAACTCTGATTACCATTGGTGGTAAGGTGCCCCCTCCTGCCTCCTTTCAACTCTTTTTGTAATTCATATGAATGCATTCATATGAAAAAGCGAACTGAACTTAATTTCAATATGTAGACGTTTATAGCATAATATTAATGTTCTGATGTTCAAAACTCTATGTCCTTTTGAAAAGCAAACACATGCTAGTATATTATCTTCAGTCGTGGTGATCACAGGTAAAAAATGTTCCAAAAAAAAGGGATAGAAACTGGAATAAAAGTGAAAGCCCTAAAATCCCATTGCCATTCAGGCAAAGCACCTCCTTAAAATATTCTTTAAAGAATTATTAGACTGAGAAAAACATCATTCAGTTTTTCACTTGGAAGATAGAAATGAAATGAAAATACAAATGTAACTAACTCCATATCAAATGTGTTAAATATGTGAAACTACTGATGGTGTCTCATCCTCTCACAGTATGAGGTTTCCTGCTGGCGGATGGAATAGCAGTTCCATAATTAGATTGTCTGTCTTTTCATTCTAACGAGGCAGACGTAGCAGTCACACTTGTGTGTGATGTAGGAAGTGCTGCATTGGGCTAATTTATGCATCTCAGAGTAGGGTGAGATCTGCTAGACGGTAAGCTGGGGAAATCTCTCACCACAGGTGGGTTTTCATCAACCAGTCTCTTTCATTTTCTCCCCTGAACATTCCCATTCACCTACACAACTAACACAGCTTCCAATTAAGAATGTGGGAGCACGCCAACACGGAATATTGCCTTTGATGCAAACACATGCTCATATGTCTACGTTAAGTTCGTCAGTCTTTACAACACATCTGTGTTTGAACGCCAATTCAAGGAGATGTTGACATCTGGATGTGGCAGGTCAAACTAGGCTACATCAGCTGAATACTCAAGCAGAAGTGGAACATAATGACTTGCATCTAATTTTTCCTGTGTGCTTTTTACCTCTCTTTCTAAAGCACTTTTAAACTTCTGTTTTGAACAAAATAAAATGTACACTTGTTTTACACAAGATTCTACTATGCCTCTACTCATGCGGTTTCTTGTTTACTCTGTGCTCTCTATGGACTAAGCCCTTATTGAAAAGGTAAAGGCAAACAGTATTGATCAGTAAAATGGTAGAGTGGACTGGCGGTGTGTTATGTTACTGATGGCTAATGCATGCCTTTTTAGAGAAGTGGGATTTAAGTGTCTCATTGCGAATCTACTCCTCATTCTCCTGTCAAAATGTAACTGACTGGAAATAAACACTGACAGGACAGAAATGGAGTTCCTCCCTCTAGCTTGCTGTCTAGAGAGATCCTTCAAAAACTCCGCCATCAACACTGACTATACAGGGCATTTAAAGCCAGCGCCCCAACAACAAGCCCTGTATTACTGTGGCACTGCATTCAAATTGTCACCAGTTGTGTAAATATATGACGTGATTGCAAAGCAGGTTGAGAGAAAGCACAACTACAATATATAAGCCTTCATAGAAACAATGGACTAAGATTAATATTTCACTGGACAACCAAAGGTCTTCAAGCTTTGTACACTGACTTACTTGTGCATTACAGCCAAATAGTTTTACAGTATTACAGTTGTATAGGACAGAAAGAATTATAGTGCGAGATCAGCTTTGTAGGATAATTAAAAATACATTTGGGAAAAATTAAGCTACGGCATACATAAAATGGTTCAACTGAGTTAAAAGCTAAAATTTGACTAGTGCAGATGTCGCATTGCTATCACCCATCACTACTGAGGGCTGCCGAAGATAAAAGCCTATAACATTCAATATTTATCATGTTCTGTAACTCTGACACATGTTCTCTTTGTCTGTAATGGTTATCTAGGAATTTAAGCTTATGTAACAGTTGTGCTCATGACCATAATCATGGATAAAAGCATCAGCTAAAGGCTTAAAATCTAACTGTAAAATTTAAATCCACTGCCATGAGCCCTATCACTTTCCCTCATCTGTAACCAACAGTTAGATAGTACAAAGATAACTAGTATGATTTAACCATCAAGTTCATCGTGACCAGTGGCGTCCTTTCCACTACCCTTTTACAGTTGTGAGTGGGACTGACCTGGTGGAGATCATTTCCCAAGGTGAACTCCTGGAAATACCCAGGGGCTGCTGACGTAGCACGGATAGCCTGCCACAGCTGGTGCTGGCAGCCCCCCAGGTAGTGAGAGCGCACCCCGGGCAGCAGGTTGTAGTTCCTGAACACATAGGCCTTTAGGGGAGTGCCCCGGTTCACAATGGTGCTCACCGCTGCCACCTATAGTGAAGGACATGACAAACAACAACGTCATATGGCATTTCACAGCCAAACAGATCTAAAATGAAGGAAAATACCTAGACTGACATTCTGACAGATCAATTTGGAATCATCTCTGTTTTGGAAGGAATCTGCTGACATATGAAATCCTATGTGAAATCGTTATCCACACTGTCTTATATGACTTTAGAGTGTATTTTTCCTTCCACTTGTCATGCAGTGATATGCAGGACAGAGATAGAGAAAGGAGCTTTCTTTGTAATATCCCAGTAAACAAAATCAGGTGAAGGCTCACTGGTCAGTGAACAGAACAGAACAAAAGGTAAGAATGAGCCAGACCATCTTCTAAAGCTCACCTTGGGGCATTCTGGGTTTCTTGAAGTCTCCACCAGGAGGTGAGAGCCCATTTTCTCTCTGTGGAAGGGACGATCGGATGAGGTTATTTTCGGGCTTAGCAAATTTTGGACTATTTCTTTCACAAAATCCCCTGCATATCAGGTAATGGAAATTGAATTTGCATAATTATTTTCAGTTCTACAGGTTTTTTTTAGGCCACAGCTGTCTATGTATACTTTCTATGACTGCTGACCATATTTAAGCTTGCAGTGGTGTTGTTTTATTCTTTAATAAGTTTATCCAGTGTTTCTAAAAAGCCACTGGTTTACACTTATGCTATAATAATTACCTTTCCATATTGTGTGAAACTTGAAATAGGCTTTATCCATTACAGGGAACATCTGCTTTTCCAAGATACATTGTACACACTTTGCAAATAAATCTGCAGTTTAAAATACACGATCAAATAATGTTAACATAACTTTCTAATTTTAGTTAGGTACTTCCCAAATCACTGTATGCTTACTTTCATACTATAGTGGAAAGATATAAAGAATTAAAGAAAGAAAAGGATATAAAAAAAATAAAGGCTTTTGAACCGTTTTACTAATATAGTATCTTAACATGGCAGCAAATAAACTAAGCACAATCACCACTTCATTGACAAAGGAACTGACCTAAGGATGTTCTCCCAGGCCTCGCTGTCATAGAAAGCATGGCTCCAGCCCATCTTCACGGTGCCAACAATGACATTCTGCTTGAAGACATCTGAACCCAGCTTCCGGTAAAGATCATCACACTCATTCAGTGGGATTTGGAACACACCTAGCATGAACCCTAAGATAGCACCTGAGGAAAAAGCACACACATACACACATTCAAAGAAGGAAAGTGACTGGGAAGTACCGGTAAAACTATGCAAAAAGCAGATTTTTGTAAATAGGAATTATTAGAATACAACAAGGTAATATTAACGAGCAGAAAGGTTATGTACAGCTCGTTGTACTGTTACTCTAAAGCCGTGGAGTTGATGCGAGGCCGGCTGCCTAAAGTATTATCTGTTAAGAGTAACATTACCCTAGAATGAACCATAGGAAGTACATGGGATTAACATGGCTGTTACACGATAGGCAAATATTTCATAACTACTTTCTCTCCATGATTTAGAGCGCCAGACCAGATTTCTAACCCAACAGTGCTATGAGGTCAAAGATGGGTGTACCTGAATAACGTGGGTGATCAAACTAACCAGATGTTGCCCAGATGGGTTTTATTTGTGTGAACATCATTAGATCTAGCAGCACATTACAATATGCTTTGACAGCATTCACTAAATGTGAAATGAAGTACCTCCAACAGGTGGAGATTAAGAGAGAGAACTGATAGGAACTGTGGATAAACAGAATCTTCTGGTA